TTCAACAAAAAGAAAAATGGCTTTCATTTGTTACAACATCAAGTAAACAAGGTGCTAAATGGCCTTTGTTAGAAGAAACTTTATGGCTTTGGACACAAGGCACTCTTGGTGCAGAAATGGATCTTAATGATAAAATATTACAAAGAAAAGCTATTCAATTTGCTGAAATACTCAAAATTGAAAATTTTAAAGGTTCACTAGGCTGGATTGCAAATTTTAAAGAATGACATAATATTTGACGATATACAAAAACTGGAGAAAGTGCAAGTGCTCCAATTGAAATTATTCCTGAAGAAAAAAACAAAAAATTTAGAAAATATTTTTAATGTAGATGAAACAAGTCTTTTTTGGAAACTTGAACCATGTAAAACATTAATAACACATTCTGTAAAAGGACATAAAAAATCAAAGGAAAGAATTACATTATTACTTGAAACAAATGCAACTGGTATTGAAAAAATTATACCAATTTTTATTAACAAGACAAAAAATTCTAGGGCTCTTCGACGTATTTCAAAATCAGAACTTCCTGTACAATATGAATATAATTTAACTGTATGGATGCAAGTTTCAATTTGGAACAAATGGTTATTAGAATTTGATTTTAAAAAGAAGCAACAAAATCGAAATATTCTTTTATTAATTGATAATGCACCAGTTCATAAACTTATGGAAGATACAAAACTTGAAAATATTAGAATTTATTATTTACCACCAAATACAACTACTTATCTTTAACCATGTGATGCTGGAATTATTCATAGTTTTAAAGCTCATTATCGTAAACTTTTTGTGAATAATAGAATTAATGCTTATGATGCTCTTGGAAATACCAAAACTTTATTGGATCTTTTTACAATTAAAGATGCAATTGATATTACAGTAGAGGCATGGAATAATGTTACAAAAAAAGTTATTAAAAATTGTTGGAAAGCGACTGGTATATTGCCATATTTTTCTTCTGAAAATATTCCTATTTATTTTCAAGAAATTAATACTAGAGAAAATACGCCTACTATTACTAGTACTATTAGTAGTAGAGAAAGTACACC